GTGAAAACAGCTGAGGCAATTGAAAAAATACTCACACATAACAGCAAAGGAATCAAGTATCAAATTCTTTCAAATACTGAATTTCTTGCTGAAGGGACTGCTATTCAGGACCTTTTTAATCCGGATCGCGTTCTAATTGGAGGACGAGAAACCCCTGAGGGGCAAAAAGCAATCCAGGCTCTGAAGGCAGTTTATGCTCATTGGGTGCCTGAAGATAAAATCATATGCACCAATCTTTGGTCAGTTTAGCTGTCGAAGCTCGCTGCCAACACCTTCTTGGCTCAGAGGATTTCATCAGTTAATGCAATGTCAGCTCTTTGTGTAGACACTGGAGCTGATGTTGCACAGGTTTCCAATGCTATTGGTAAGGACAGTAGAATCGGATGCAAGTTCCTCAATGCCAGTGTTGGTTTTGGTGAAAGATATTCTCAACTTGGTTTATATCTGTGNGCTCCCACAAATTATAACGTAGGCTCAATCACTTGGATTGACCTTAGGCGGGCATCCCTCCAAAGTGCAATGGAGGTCACCAACCTAGGCCATGAGCCTTATTGATCTCTCATTGACCCCGTCCAGGTAAGTATGTTTCCTTGTGTGACCAGCCTATCTTTTATATCACTGCATTTGCTCGCTTCTCCTCTCTGCTTGCGGTGTGGGATGAACTACAAGTGAAAGAAGTCAAGTTGTAACAAAATATATTTCAATAATAATAATAGAAATGACGATAACAACAAGGAATCTTTACCTGGTAATCTTAAAATTAATTACTCTCCTCTTGACAACAAGAATATTTTTGCGTGAAAGTTAAAAATCTCACAAAACATTTTCTCGAGAATACCCCTTTCTATCAGCGTGTTTGGTCAAGTTTTTCTGGCCAAAACCTTTTTTTTTTTTTGAGGCCAAAAATATTTTTTTCCAAAGCTAAGGTGTTTGGCCAAATTTTTAAAAGGAAAAAAGTACTTTTAAGTAGAAGCATAAGCAATTTTTGAAAAGCAGAAAAAAATAGTTTTTTCCTATAAGTGCTTTTTTTTGAAAAGTACTTATGAGAAAAATTCCATTATAAGAACATTTTAAAAGTTTGGCCAAACGTTGTTGTCCAAAAGTGTTTTTCAAATTAATTAGTCAAACATAAATTGATTCTCACCAAAAGTAATTTTTTGAAAAGCGCTTTTGAAAAAAAATATTTTTAAAAATAAGTTGATTTTAGAAGTTTGGCCAAACATATTATATAACTACAGTGATAGAGGGAATAATAAAAGATTAAGGAGTCTGGTTTTTTTTTTTGCATTTTATTTATATATAGTTTTCGTCTAATTGTTGATTTTCTTCTTGTCTTTTCCGAGTTAAAATTCTTGCTAACATATTATTACCTATTCTATTATCTGAAAAACTTATTTGTGATCTTTCTTCGTTTGTTGTTCTTGACCCACCTGAAAAAAGATCCATTTTTGTGGTTTTCTTAATTTAAGTCAGTCCTTTTGCGGTGTTATTTCTACTCTTTTTAATTGTTCTATTAAATCATCTACTTTTGGAATTTCTACTTCAGTCTTTACCTTTTTTTCTTTAATAATTTTATCTAGTTTTTTTTTTAATTTCTAAAAGTAATACTATTAAAGTATTATTCTGTTTTATTATTGTTTGATCCGCTTTTCCTTGAGGAGTATAGCTGGTAAGTCCTTCTGGATTGGGCTATCCCCAAGTAACACAATGTACCCACTCACAGATTTCCTTGAATCGGGGCAGGCAGCCCAATCTGAGTCACAATAAGCACTTACATTATAGCTGGGGTCATTGGACAAGAAGATTCCCAAAGTAGGGTCTTTCTTTAGATATCTAAGGACATGAACAACTACCTTTAGGTGAGGTTCCCTTGGTGCCTGCATAAATTGGCTCAGATGTTGGACACTGTAAGCTATGCCCAGTCTTGTATTTGTTAAGAAATTCAGCTTTTCAACCAGCTTCTTATAGCACCCTGGGTTGGGCAACAGGGTTCCTTCATCTTTGCTCAGTCTGATAGTAAGTCAAGTGGAGAGCTAACAGGAGAGTATGTCAAACAGTCATACTCTTTCAGCAGGTCCATAGTGAATTTTCTTTGACAGATTAGTACTCCATCACCCTTGTACAATATTTTTAGCCCCAAGAAGTAGTGTAACTTTCCAAGATCCTTTATCCTGAATTGATTATGCACCAAAGCCTTCAATTCTGTGATTTCCTCCAAGTTGGTACCAGTTAGAATTACATCATCTGCATAAACAGCCACAAAGACTGTTGAGTTCCCCAGTTTCTTATAGAACAATGAGTGATCACTGTCTGAGTGTTTGAAACCCCTAGAGTGTAGGGATTCTATTAGTTTGTCATACCACTGCCTACTAGCTTATTTTAGACCATATAGTGACTTCCTAAGTTTGCATGCTGGATTTCTAGTAGGTACCATTAAACCTTGTGAAACCTCCATGTATACCTCTTCATGTAGATCTCCATGCAAAAATGCATTGTTGACATCTAGTTGATAGAGATCCACCCTCTCTTTACTGCAATGCTGATTAATGTTCTGACTGTGGTCATTTTTACCACTGGTGAGAAAGTTTTTGTATAATCAATTCCTGCTTCTTGTGTATAACCCTTCACTACCAGCCTTGCTTTGAACCTTTATACACTTCCATCTGCCTTGTGTTTGATCTTGTATACTCATTTGCAGCATATCGCTTTCTTTCCTGCAGGTAACTCAACTAGGTCCCAAGTATGTATAGCATATAATGTTTCAAATTCTTGTGTCATTGTCATTTGCCAAGCAGGATTCATAGATGCCTGCTCATAAGAAGATGGCTCACAATCATGTGAAATGTTTCTAATTAATTGCTGACTCTCAAGTTGTAAGACATTAAATGAGACATGATGTTTATCATTGCAGATTGCATTAAAAGATGTGGAACTGGTATGAAGATCAGGCTTTGTGTTTTGTTATTGAAGCGTTGGCAAGGAATACACATAGTCCTTGAGGTGTGCTGGGGTAGTGTGGGTTCTGCCAAATCTTCTGGGATTTGGAGGATTTGTTTGAAGGCTATTAAACTCAATGATTTAAGGGCTAGTGAGTTGTACTTGTGTAAATGGCTGAGAGGTAAGGCTATTGGACTGATTGGGTGTTATTGAACTAGGTGAAGGCAATGGTGAGCTAGGTGGATGAATAGATGTAGGTGGAGAAACAGGGGTAGTAGTATTAGTTACAGGTCCATCAATGACAGAAATTGATGTATATTTATCATACAAGTCATAAGCATTTAACTCTCTAGAGGTAGGATGACAACTGGACGAACTGGAAGTTAATAGATGCAACACTGAGGGAAAACTAGAATGTTCAGGAGAAACTGCAAAAGGAAAGATATTTTCATGGAACACTACATCTCTAGATATATGTATCCTGTGTGTGGCTAAGTCTAGGACCTTGTAACCTTTAGTACCAAAGGGATAACATACAAACACATGAGGTGTGGCTCTTGGTTCAAACTTGTCTCTGTGGGTTTTCTGTGTATATGGGTAGCATAAACACCCAAAACTCTTGAGTTGTGAGTATTTGGGATTTTTATTATACAAGAGTTCATATGGGCTTTTATTATTAAGGACAGTGGATGGAGGTCATGTTTATTATGAAGGTAGCTGCGAGGATGCACTCTCCCCAGTACCTTATGGGTAGTTTGGACTGGTAAAGGAGGGCTCTTGTTGTTTTAAGTAGGTATTTGAGTTTTCTTTCCAGTACACCATTTTGTTGTGGTGTGTATGGATAAGTTTTCGGATGAATTATGCCCTTTTTCTTGAAAGTAGGTCATATTTTCATTGTTGACAAATTCTAGACCATTATCAAATCTAATGGTCTTAAGAGAGGTGTCAAACTGATTTTCAATCATAGATAGAAAGCTTTTAATAGCATGAAAGGTATTGCTTTTGCAACTTAGGAGGTGAGTCCAGGTTGACCTACTCAAATCATCAATCATAGTAAGGAAGTATTTGTAATTATTGATCATGCCCAACTATGCCTTATAAAAAGGACTAAGCGGTCGTTGCAAATATAACCCGGTTTACAAGTCCGGAGTCGAATCCCACAGAGAACTGAGGCCTAGCTACAGCTGTTCAATATTGCTAAGAAGACAAGCTCGAACAATTCCTAAGTTATAGATATTAAAGTCCTTATATCTAATTAACAATATAATTAAATTAGTAGATTAATAACTAAAGATACTATGGGTTGGAGAAAAGATTAAGGAAGTCTAGAGTTACGATTTTCTCAATTGTCTTCTATAATTTTGCCTGTATTCTCTATAGATCATGAGCGCTCTGCGTGTTGTAATTCTCTCCCGAGTAATTACGACAATTTACTAGACATACTCTCCCGAGTTACGCTAGCTGGACAGCTCACTTAGATCGCACACAAGGTTTCATTATCCCTAATCCCACCTTTAAACCCTTGGTTATTGATTCCTCACATACGTCGGGAGTGATGTTGTTCAACAACTACCTAAATATGCACTCTCTTCCGAGTAATACATACTAAATAGGAACAGCTAATTGAGGATCCTATCAATTAACTACAACAAGAACGTAGTTAAACAAATAGAGATTATACTACGGCTCAATTATATAAAAACATAACAAGAATTTATCCTACAAAATATTCCATCAAAATCCTAGATAACAAATTAGCTATTCATAATAGTATGTAAAACTACAATACTAGAAGTCATAACCAACAATGAAAAATAGGAAGAGGAAGGAAAAACTCGTAGAAGAATTTCCCGCCTTGCTCTTATTGTGTCTCTGCCTCCTTAGGTCGAATCTATGTCAAAAGTATGTACAACCCCCTCAAAATAGCGTTTTTACATGTATTTATACCAAGTAGGGTTGAGCCCAGACAAAAAACCATTTCCTGCGCGAACTAGGACTTAGCTCTGTAAAGATTGAACAGCCGCGCCGCAGGCTGCGCCGCACCTTGCGGCGCGTTAGGGCATTTTATGAGCAGCCTCTTATTTTCGTGTCAGGCCTCAATTTACACTGCTGCGCTGCGCCTTGCGGTGGCCCATGCGGCACGGCAGTGTAGTTTTCTTAAAGTGAACTTGTTTCGTCCTCTTTTAACATCCGGACTTGGTACACGACATCCGAACACGATCCCAGCTTAATGTATTGGGCTTTTACTCAGATTTCAAAGCTCTAAATTTATCAATATATCTCCAAATTAACTTTTGAGCTCACTTCCTGCAAGGCATAAAACACGTACTAAGTACAATTCACTATTAATTGAACTCAAACGCACGTAAAAAATGTAATCATTGGCATGTAATACTACGGCTAAACACGGGTTTCTAGCCTAACATCAACACCCCACACTTAAATCATTGCTCGTCCTCGAGCAATCAAACTACACTTTATATAGACACGACCTTTTTAAACAATTCTCCAAACTCATCACACCAAGAATATTTAAAATAGACTAAGCACAAAAGTGTAACATCTTCACCTCAAGATTTGACTCACAAGTACCACGCATTATTCACAACTCACCCACTTACTCTAACGTAGAGATCACTGACATTACCTTTCCTTCATGAATCAAGTGCCCTTACATAATGTAAGCACGTGATTTTTGCTTCACGGACAATCACTCCAAAGGAAAACAAAAATAGTGACCAGTGACCTCGCTGTACAAATTTTCAATTTTTCATGACATGTNTGAGGTCTAATAGACCTTAATCAATGTGTTCTCATGTGAGAACACCCTGATTAAAGTTTGTTCGGCCTCAAATGGTCGAAGCTAAGTCGGATTTGGGTCAGTTTGGTTTAAACTTTTTCAGTAAGTTTTCCCTTCTCTTTGTTTTAATTTTGATTGAGTTGTTAGCATGCTTTGTTGTGACTGTGTGTTATTGTTTGATAATTTTCTTAATTTCTTCCATCTCTGCCAAAGACCTTTTTATTTGGTCGTTTGTTTTCTGTGTATGTTCTGAATATATTCTGTGATATACATGTTCGATTAGGATAGTCGTCGCATAAATAATTCATATAGGTTCCCAGTAATTGAACAAAAGGTGTCTGATGCCCTTTGGGTCCCTGTACGTATTGTTTATGTGAATGATTGATTATTACCTGTTGTATTTAGTATAGTCGACTCGATAAACATCGTCGATTAGTTTTCTATAACTAATTGATCAAATGAACTAATAATATCACATGATTGATCGAACCATGTCACTAACTGAATGCCCGACACTGTTTGAAATGGGTTTGTTTGCATTGCA